TTTGGAACCCTAAACCCCTTTCTCTGGACCTCTTTGATTTCGTTTGATCAAAAGAAAATTTTTACAAGTAAAGTCAAATTTTCACCAAAAGCGATTTGTAAACAGGCAGGCGCGCGGGCAGCTATGTATGCAGCGGGTCCTCCGAAAAAACTGTCAGATAACTTTAGCAGTGTCTGAGTGAGATACAAAGAAAGTAACGGGAATGATCGCAGTGTAGGAGAGATGGATACTCGCGGAGGAGGAGCAGTGAGACAGGTGTGAGCAGAGGAGCAGACCCCTTTGTGTGAGCAGAGGAGGAGGAGGAGGAGCAGCGGTGTGACAGGTGTGTGAGCGCTGCTATTGCCAATGTTTAGTCCGAATATCCACATCAAAAACATATTTTTAAAAGCATTAGCAAACACACTGTATGTCTAGCTTTAGCTAGCTGGAGTGTTTTTGTTGTGGTCAGAGTGTGTGGAGGAGGAGGTGAAGAGTATTTTGTTGTCAGTGTGGAGGAGGAGGAGCGTATGTTGTCAGAGTGTGTGGAGGCATGGCAAAAACGTTATTTGATGAGAAAAAAATAATAATATTGACTCCGCCTCATAGCCATTTTGGCGCATTTTGCCAAAATCTAACTATTAGAAGAAAAAGACTCCTTTTGGTTCAATCTTTTGAGTTGCTCTACCATTTTGCCACAGGACGAAAGAGACATGTCAGCTAAAAAGACCGCGACCAATATTGCAATACCAAGTGCCGTAGAGTGTGTGTGCGTGTGTACGTGCGCGCGCCAAACGCTGCATAGGAGCGAAGACACTCGGTTACACGCGTGCTGATCTCGTCAAGCACCGCGCGAGGTGGTGCTGAATTCATGTCAAAGATTATAACAGGAAAAACTTTCCTCAGATCTGGGAAAAAAGTGTCAGGGCAGGGCCTCGCGTTTCGAGTTCGCACAGGGCCTCGCACCCCCCTTGCGACGGGCCTGGCTACTACACACTGTAAATTCTCACCTGACAGCTTTAATGCTCTGCCCTATATCAAGTCTTATTGTCTTGAACTGTTTAATTAATTGTGTTGGCAGATCGACAACTCTGTAAAGTCCTCCAAGATAACTGCTGTTGTGATTAAGGGTTATCAAAAATATATTTCATTGAATCGTGCAGCAAGCCTCCTCCTCCCCATGATCACCAGCAAGACCAGCTCTTTAACCCTTCTCTTAGCTACCAACACCAGGGTTTGGGTACCCCTGATTTAGCAAACCAATCCAAACACACCAAAACCATCCGCACAAACCATATGCTTTGAAACAATGACAAAGAGCTGCAGAGTCTACCATCCACCCAGAACTATCTCATTTCCAGTCCCACCCAGCCGGCTTGTCCCCTCCAACAAACACAAACGCTCACCACACTCAATTGCAAGTAACAGCACGCATTACTGTGAATTCATCAGGGCTCAGCTTCCCTCTTTGTGCACAAAAACAAGCGCTCATGTTTTATATATAGGCCGCCATGTTGGCTTTCCCAATAGAAGTTGTATTAGATTTGGTGTTGGCTAAGGAAATGCCCGCAGAGTAACACATATTTTTATTCTGTCTCTTGTTGTGTGTGTGAAACTAAAGCATAAACCTGTTGTGATTTTCTGTATTTGGAGCCGATGCAGAAAATGTTGGAGAATGTTTGCCCAATAGCCAAAAGGATTACAGGTTCTACTCAAATGCTTTACTTCTCTCCCTGAAAAAACAGATAAACAGAGCCTACTCATAATGCTCTCTTCATGTTATTACATTTCCAGAACAAAGCTGTGAGGATCTGTTTGAGTCGTTTTAGATCAATATGATTTAAAGAGTTCATATTACCATATAAGTATGAAGGTGAAACTAAAACTAGCATATTGTTCATTCATTTATATGATTTAACTTAAATTGTTAAACTAATATGACATTGCATAAAACGTGAGATATGCCAAGGCTGTATTGCTGTATTTTTTCTTTATGAATATGGTACATTTTCAAAGTATTTGAATTTTCTTAAATAATTTATTCTGTTTATTTGCAAGCCAAATATAAAAAAATGAATTGAATAATAATTTATAATGATAATAATAATAATACTTCTCACTTTGCATGTATTGAGTCTGTCATATTAGTTTCATATACAGAAGAAAAAATAGACTCTTGAATTATATTTTGACTTAAGAGTTACATTTGTACTGTATACATACGTCTTCTTGAAAATGTTCTCTTGAGAGTCGGCTGAGATGGAAGATCTTCTGCATGTTAAGGAACCTCCTGGAGAAGAGTTTTCCCCACGTCCCACTGGGAGAGGGCCTTGAGGACAAACATGCCCCAGGGAATATGTCTGTGTTTGCAGTCCTGCATGGAAGGAGCCTGGGCATCTGGTCTCCCTGGTACTGCCTCTGAGTGATGTAAAGCCATGGCTTGTTGCTGATATTAGGGCTGTATGATTTGGAAAAAGTATAATTATTAGGTGCAAAAGGTCTGCATAAAGAAGAGGACAGGTTTTTTCTATATTAAATTGCCTTGTATACAAAATGGGCACTACAAATAATGTTTTGTGGTTTGATAATTAGAATGTCCACATTTACAATCAACAATGCAGACATTTCTGGAAGTGGTCCATCACCTGCTTAATTCCATGGAAACAAACTTTTAGGATAACACTGCAAGCAATTTCTCTGTGGTATAATTTCATTCTGGAATATCAACACAAAGAAACAAATTTTTTCAAGAAGATATACAAACATATTTTCCTGTGACTTTTGGTGTGACTTTATAACTGCTGTTATCACCGTTAAAGATAAGATGAAGTCTGCTGCTTTTCATGATCATCTGAGAAAAGTAAATATGTTTGATTTTCTATTGACAATCTGGAAGTGAGGAATGTTTATTAACACAGCGCATTTTACAGAACAAGGTCACCCAAAGCGCTTCACAATGTTCAGATTTCAGATATTGTTCTATTCTCTCCACACTGAGATACGCCGAACACACTGGCGTATCAATGCCTCCAACCAACACCATCCTAGTAAATGTGGTATACTTCTATCATACATACATACAGAGTTCATTGTGTAGGATTGTTTTTGACGATAAAACATAAAAACAACATTATGGTAAAACAAACGTTCTTTATTAATAAGGAATAAGTAGCACAGAAAGGCAGTATAAATACATTAAATGCATATTTCAAAACAGTTTCAAGGACAAGGAAACACTGCAAGAACTAGGTACCCAAACCCAAGTAACAAGAATTACCATTACCAGGTACTTAACAGCCAAGTACCAGTACTTCCCAGCAAGTACCAGGTATTACAGCAAAGTACCAGGTCTTAACAGAAGTACCAGGTACTTAACACAAGTACCAGGTACTTACCATAGGGACTGGGTAATAAGACAAAGGACTTTAACATAAGTACCAGTGATAACACCAGTAATTATACTAGTAAGTACCAGGTACTTACCATAGGAACTGGCCCATAATAAGACAAAGGACTTTAACATAAGTACCAGTTGATAACACCAGTAATTATATAGTAAGTACCAGGTACTTACCATAGGAACTGCCCCATAATAAGACAAAGGACTTACCCATAAGTAATTAGTTAGTGATACCAGTTAATTATATAGTTATACCATGTACTTACCAGCAAGTACCAGTACCAGCAAGTACCATGGGTGGGTACTTACCATAGGGACTGGCCCATAATAAGACAAAGGACTTTAACATAAGTACCAGTTGATAAACACCAGTATACAGTAAGATACCATACTTATACCAAAGGTAAGTACCAGGCCCCGGTAATAAGACAAAGGGTACATAGATCGGAAGGCTCCTGCGATGGAGGCGCGTACTATCCCCCGGGACCTAGGCACTTGCGGTGGCGGCATTTTGGCAGATTGGAGGCAGATTGGTGGCTAGATTGGAGGCAGATTGGAGGCAGACAAGATTGGAGGCAGATTGGAGCAGTTGGAGGGCAGGTTTGGAGGCGGGTTGGAGGCAGGGTGAGTGGAGGAGGAGGGGAGGCGGTGGTTGCGCGGCTTCGAGAAGGCAGAGCAGTGAGTGGGAAGTAGTTGCTCCCTTTTAAGCGGCTGCCTGTCGGCACGGATGTGGGAGGGGGCGTTTGTCCGAGCGATAGGCTGGGAAGCGACCCGGCCTGGAGGGGTAGTTGAGGGGTAGCTTTTGGCTGACGTTACCAAATTGAATTTCGCTGAGCTACATTGCATTTGGAGAGACGAGAAACGAAAATGGTTTGAGTATTTATTGAGGTGGATTGGCGGCCCTAGCCCCGGTGCGGCCTTCAGATCGGAGAGGTCTCTGCGATGGAGGCGCGTACAATGCCCAAAAAGGCTGTGCCTGAGTGTGTTGATGGAGTTTTGCGCCTGGTTTGCAGGGAACAGACGTCGTGGGTACCTCTATCCTGTGATCCGCTATCGCTAAGCTGTGACCGCTATCGCTATGCTGGTGGGACCCGCTTATCGCTATGCTGTGACCGCTATAGCTATGCTGTGACCGCTATCGCTATGCTAGTGACCGCTATCGCTTGCTGTGACCGCTATCTCTATGCTGTGAACCGTTTATGCGCTAACATTTTTTTGCTACTTGCTGTGACCGCATACACTAACGCTATGACCGCTACCATGACGCTCATGACGCTATCATGACGCTATTGACCGCTATCACTGTCGCTATTATGACCGCTATCACTGACGATATGACCGCTATCACTGACGCTTTTGACGCTATCACTTACGCTGTTATGACGCTTTCACTATGTGCTGTGACCGTTATATGGCGGTTTATCTTTGAGTGACGGGACGTGAGCGCTCGCATCACGATCAACCAGACGCTGCGGCAGGGTTTGTCTTTGCGCGCTTGGACGTGAGCGCTCGCATAACGTGCGTCAGACGCTGCGGCAGCGGAGAGTGTTTGAGAGAAGTGCGTGCCGCCACCAGAAGCTTATTTGGTTCACTTACTTTGCTTCGTTATTGCTTTGCTGGGAGCTTACGAGGAAGCCAGGTGCAAAAAACCCACCACCCCCCCCCCCCCCCCCCCCCCCCCCCCCCCCAAAAAACAAAACACCCCCCCAAAAAAAAAAAACAAAAAAAAAAAAAAAACAAAACAAAAAAAAAAAAACACCCCCAAACCCCCCCCCCCCCCCCCCCCCCCCAACACAAAAAAAAAACCCCCCCCCCCCCCCCCCCCCAAAAAAACACCCCCAAAACACCCCCACACCCCCCCCCCCCCAACAACCAAAAACCCCCCCCCCCCCCCCCCCACCCCCCCCCCCACCCCCCCCCCCCCCCCACACCCCCCCCCCCCCCCCCCCCCCCCCCCCCCCCCCCCCCCCCCCCCCCCCCCCCCCCCCCCCCCCCCCCCAACCCCCCCCCCCCCCCCAAAAAAAACCAACAAACCCCCCCCCCCCCCCCCCCCCCCCACCCCCCCCACCCCCCCAAAAAAACCACCACAAAAAAAAAAAAAACCAAAAACCACCCCCCCCCCCCCCCCCCCCCCCACAAAAAAAACACACAACCCCGTCTCTTGCGATAGATCGAGACGATTTTGCAGATGGTTACACTCTGTTCTGTTTTAATTTAGAGGCTGATGAAGGCCATGGTGGTAATATTTCACTAGTTAAATCCGGTAACGTACGTTTAGAAGCTAGGTTTAGGACACCACTAGCACGTACCGTTAATTTGATCTGCTATGCAGTTTTTGATTCCATTATTGAGATTTCAAACAGAAGACAAGTTCTACTAGACTACTATTAGGTGCCGCACTAATGAATACTATAGAGTTAACGAGCATCATGAAACAGTGTGTCAAGCGAGGCACACTTTTCCTTGGTGTTTTGCCCTTCAGACCGTTTACCTAGTGTCATAAAACGCTATCCCGCGTGTGCCATCATTAACACCCATCCCTCCACCCTCCCGGGGGAACACTGGATCGCCGCCTACTTTTCTAAAGATAGGCGCGGATACTTCTTTGACAGCTTCGGCAACGGACCAGATTATAAAAGGTTCCCAAATAGTATTAACAGATTTATGAGGGAGAATAGTGAAGGTTTTTACCATTCCATAAAACAGGTACAGAGTCATCTTTCTGTAACATGTGGACAACATTGTGTATTTTTTCTATACCACATGTTAAAAGGCTCAAGTTATCAAGAGTTTATCCGTGTGTATGATTCTAACTTGGTTTGTAACGATTCCTTGGTATGTCATTTTGTTAATGCTATACAACCTGTGGCCATATGTAGTGAAACTGATTTCGACTGTGTACAATGTGTAGTGCATAATAATAATCATTGAGAAAAAAATATTTAAGTATAATCTTTTATTTTCCATACAGAATGATAAACACACATTCATAATAAGTGATACATTCCATTTCGTCATACAGAATGATAAACACACGTGAAAACATTTCATAACAATCATGAAGATTTAAAAACTTGCTCCACTCTTGGTGACTAAAGGAGTGGTGAATTTAGGTGACAGTAATCTTTTACGTTTAGCACTAACTAAGGGCGTCGCATAAACACCAGAAGGAGGGATATTTTTAAACTCATTAATAGTTCTACGAACCATCGTGTTAGGAATGACAGACTGGGGAATATTCATTTCGGCTAGTGTTTTTAAAAACAAAGACCATCCGATTGGTCTTGAAATTTCAACTATATTATGACTAGCTGTAACATTCTTAATGAGGTCATAAACATGAGACCCCTTTACAACACTACCGTTAATCACAACTTCACCATCTCCATTCCACGTAACCACCCGGGGTGTCTTTGATAACATCTCCAATATTAACTTAGCGTTTATATGACTATTTCGTGGAATATGTCTCATAACCTCGGCTGCTATCACGTCTGTGTTAACCACAGGTTCTTCAATAGTTGAGATAGGCATGTTTAATGTTAAAACAGATTTTTCACTCTCCTCTTTTCTCACCAGCGTAAGAAAACGCTGTAGAATGTGAGCATAGTGTTTAGCTTTTTCATTAGGGTCCATTGTTATATTATTCAAAATATCGAGCATTTCTTTGTCCAACTCTGTCTGTACCCTGTGTGTGATGGATTTTTCATGACCCTGCTGCGTTAGTTTATCCAGCTGTTGTTGCGGCACCAAATACACTTTTTCCGTATATTCCATGTTAACGACTGGTGATGAGGCTCGTTATAAACGGTATAGCCGCTCCCAAAAGCGGTAGTAGAAATCCACCTTGCTGATTCAAGGCTTTTCTCTTCTTTAAAACGTTTAACTTTTTGTTACTGATAACTTTAATAACTTTTTTCTTTTTCTCAAGTTGTTTGTACTGTCTCGTAGTCAGAGGTATGTTCCCACTGAGCACGTTAATGGCTAGCTCTGACAGGGCGTTAATAAGGTCCGGACTCGCTTTAGTCAGAATAACCTTCCGCATTTTGGGCGAAGCCTTATATAGCAACTGAAGCAAAGATAAATTTCGTACCACGCGTGCTGACATAATTACTTTTTACCCTTTTTAGGTATATACACAACTACTTTGTCCGAAAGCAGACTCGTTCTGAGTCTAAAGTGATCAGGTGTTTTAGTTTTATAATCGATTAAAAGATACCCGTAGGGTCTGTTTGTAGCGTCATTAAAAGCCTCTAGAAAAAATTTGGATTTGTTAGGAAACATTTGTTTACCCAATAGAGATATTTGGAATCTGTCCCGGGGTTATTAAAAAGTATTAGATAGTTTGTGTTTAAACTAATTGTGCGACTGCTTTTACCCTGCACAAACAAATTTTGCACCATGTAAATACAACTCAGATTTCTATGATGGACATATTTGGTGAATACATTTTGCACTTCCAAATTGTTTGAAGCATCGTTCATCAAGTCGTCGATTATAAGTAGATTGTTTTTGCTCGGTGGTAACAATGTGTCATCTGCCAAAGATTCTGGCAGGTCTTTGATAAAGTTAACATTACGTATTTTTAGAATATCGTCATAGAGCGGTTGCCAGCATGAATATATGTAGACAATGTTTTCAATTTTGTGGGATATTAAAGCGTCAGCATTTTCAATAATGTCTTTAACAAAATATGTCTTGCCACAATTTGATGGTCCACTAAAAACAGAGCTAAAAGGATGTTGGAGCCTTGAGTCAAAAAGCTCTGCTTTAAAATCCATAGGGTTTTGTAGAGTAGTCATCGAGCAAGCGACGTTTGTCGTATGTCACACGCAGTTTTTTCACAAGTGACCTGTTTTTGAGGTGGAAGCGTGTCTTATCTCTGGTAATCGTGTCAGATACTGTTATCAGATGTTCATCCGTCTCTCAATTAGCCATGAATTTATCTAACAAGTCTTTTAGAGAGTCGTGTGTCACGGTCTCCACATTTACCCCCCTCAGAGTCACACCTTTGCATTTGACTTGTTTGTCCCCTAGGGCCGTCTTGTAGGCATACGATTTAGGCCCTGTTGAGACAAATTCAGTAATGCTGTCTCCATTACCGAGCTCATCGGTCAAATCACCTAGGATGCCTCCTGTGGGTGGGATCCACTCACCACTTTTTGCTGTGAATATGACAGAGTCTGTTTCACAATATAGCACTCTGTCTTGAAGCTTGTCCAGAAGTTCATATAACATGAGTCTTCCGTAGGATGTTGTCATGGCCCCGATGAAAATGTTACAATCTTTTGCATGCGACTGAACCCCATTAGCATAGCGCCACTGTACTATAGCCAATGCATTGGAAATGAAGTGGAATTGGGTGACTTCAAAATGATCAGAAAACATGAGTTGCATAAAACGCGCAGGATCTGTCACCATCTCTGTATGCCCAAGATTTGAACGTAGACAGAATTTACCCCACAAATTAGTTAGTAACAATTTGCTACAGCTCCGTCGCGTCTTATTAGGTTTGATGTTGTCACGGTCCAGTAAAATACCTTCACGTTCGTGATATTCATCAATGTATTTCTCCTCATCCTCAGGTGTTTTCACATGCTTAGGATAGCCACTGGCTTCCTGTTTGCTTTTCAAAAACTTTTTGACATAGCCTTTAAACAGTTGATCTGATTTTTCAGCAAAATGCCACACTTCGTGAATTTTCTGTACAATGTAACCCTTTTCCACAGCTTTCAACACTTCAGAAACAGGCCATGTCCTTGTGAATTCTCGTTCTTGTGGTAGTGTGATCACACTCGGTCATTTGATTCAATTCTGTGGCGCATGCTTTACATAGGATGAAAAACAGTTTGTCATGCATTTTATGGGGTAGCACAGGGTGTAACAGTCCTCTTGGCGGTAATACTACGCATTTTACAAAGCCGAAATATGATTCTAGCGGTTCAAAATCACCAATGATGATTTGTGGGTGACCTATGGGGTATTCTTTGCACGCTTGTACAGACGGATATAGACTTGTGTAATCATAGTAGAGTACTTTTACACCGTTAGACACCTTGTAATATAACTTTATAGCATTTGTTCGACCGCCATAAAGAGCATCACGTGGATTTAAACGCTCAGGACTTTTGTAATCTTTGAGAAATTCTTTCACAGAAGCATCTGTTTTAGTTAACTTGTTCCATTCGCATTCCCACATGACTACCACATTAACTTTGGATTGATCTTTCAGGTTTTTTATTTTGTCAATGGTTGCAATGTAGAGATCACTAAAAGTCTTTTTAGATAGGTGGTTCATCCCTCCAGGAGGATAGCACTTGTCATGCCCATGAATAAAACACCCAAAGAACTCGTAACATGTGTTTGTAGAGGGATTATAACCGTCTACGTGATAGCGGCCAATTTTCTTTTCCCCACCTTTAAGAGCATGCTGAATTGTTAACCCTTTGGTTTTACAGAGGTACTCGAGCCATTTGATTGATCCGTCAGAGAAACACTTATTGGCCCCATTATAACAGCCGTCATATGTTAGAGCTATAGTGTTTTTCTCCAGGAATAGCGTTTTGTAAACGCCCATACAATAACTTGGTAGAGTTACAAACGTGTACGGATCCACCTCTGTCCCCGAGAGTAGCATTTCGCGATAGAGCAGACACCCACGTCTGAGAACAGCTACGTCATTGAGACAATAGCGTTGCATTTCAAATTGTAGATTGAATTCTGTATGTTTTACACCGTCATACCACTCGTTGAATTTAGCTTTCTGTGCTTGATCCATTTTGTCAACGCCGTAAAAACGAGGTTCAGGGTAGGGTCCTATATAACACTCATTTTCTTTGGTGTTAAATAAATGAGGGAAATGACCCTTTTCTAGGTCATCAAACCCTAATGCTTCAGGCATACGTGCTAAACGCATTGGGAGAAAACTGAACGAGTCCAGCCATCTTTGTCTAAGTCGCTTGTCGTACATGCAGAGCACACGCGTGCCTCTTACAGTGAGACGTGGGGTTAACCCCTGTCTCGCAAACTCTTCCAGAATTAAGTAGTTGTCAAACGCAGCTGCATTGTGTGCTATGAATGTGTAATCACGAAACTTTGGTGTTCTAAAATATTTCAACATTCGTTTAACACAACCATCGTGTGCAAAGTTATATTTATCACCATCCTGGTCAAGAGTGCAGACTAGCACGGGGACGTGCTTGTTACCATCGTACCTTGTCTCAAAATCATAAAAAATGTAGTTGGTTGTCTCTTGAACCACTTTTAAAGGTTTGATGTAACAGCTATGGTGCTTTTCTTCACCTTCAGGGAGATCAGCATCACAGTGGATGCATTTTTGAATTTGACACACGTGTTTTTTAGCTGTGGTGCGATACTGATGTTTACATTCTTCACAATATGCCACAGAAAGGCAAGGTATTCTATCATGGACGGGGTCTGGCAGTTTATGCTGCTTAAAGCATTGGGAAGATTTGCAGATGCGTTTACACTCAGGACATTTAATTGTTCTGTTTTTCCCTTCGCTTTCACATTGTGTG